AACATGCATCAACAGTGCCATCTAGTGAAACTTTACTGGCTTACATCCTATTATGTCACCATGAAAAACGTCCAAATAGCAGGCATATCAACTTATAACTGAAAATGGAAATTACTTAGAAATATATGGTAAAGAGAAACAGGCTGCATGTTGCTATAAAAGGAAACAAAACGACTAAAGACATCAAATTCCCAGAAGCATCGCCTCACAGCAACATTTACATTTTTAGACGTACAGAACTACCTGCTGCAGGATTTAAATCTATAACCCACAATCTGGCGAGGGTGTTAAAAGGAAGGAGGAGGTGTGAGAACACGAGGACTGACCAAACGGGCGCATCACCTCTTATCGCACACACTTCAGCTAAAACTGTGCTACCAACTATATTTTCACATGAAAGAAAAAGCATTCTTTACAGTTCAACAGATTCAACCAAAGCTTCGCAAAAGCAGCTTTCCTGTTGGCCATTTGCACTACCATTTTTGTACATTTCTCAAGCTATTCTATTCATTTATTTATATTTTCCACTACTACCACTATTCTTTTTAGGTTTCGTTTTTATGTCTTCCCTGGCGAGTGCTTCATCTTTTCTCATTTTTTCTTTATATAAAGGTGAAAGAGAAACAGAATTTTGATTCTCTTGAATGTCCTGTACAAGAAGCAAATTGACAAATAAATAAATAAATATTTGACTCTTGAATTTTGTGGGGGGGCAGGGTTTCTTCTTGGTTTGTAGAACACAAACGAGTCGTCATCTTTAGTGCAAATATAAATTCTACACTTTAACATGCAGAATTATAATAATACAAACACTTTCAAGAATGACAGAAAAAGCTCAAAAGACTGATCAACAGTAAATTCTCATAAAAAGATTCATAGCTGGCACTCAGTCTATTTGTCCTTCTCTCCTAAGATTATCTTCATATATATATATCAGTGCCTTTAGTTTTTATTAGTTCCTTCATAATATTGTCACTGAAATGGATCCATCTGGAACTCTGCTAAGCAGATCTGAATTAGAATAGTATGAGCACTCATGTTGCTGTTTATCACGATTTCTTCACTGGAGACAGCAGATAAAAGAATGCTTTTAATATACAGGAATACAAACATTCACCCATGGTCCACACACAGGTATTAAAGTCTATTCTTCACACCCTTCCGGCTTCTGAAATTCAATAGCTTCAAGTAGATGCTTGTTGTTGTCTGCATGTCTACGGGTGTTAGATGCTCAGCACTGAATACCTGTGCATACTAATTGCATTTTACTTGCAGCAGAAATGACACCTCTGAGGTGGAGAGAACAGGCAGGGGAAAAAACAAACACAGGAGGTGCTAATGAAAGAAAGGAGAGGAGAAGGGACTAGGTGTTAATGTAACGCGTCATCTCGTCTGTGTCTTCACTCGTGGTGTAACAGTTAAATATAGTCTCAGAATGAGACAGGATGACACACTGCAAGAGCCAAGTTGAATGCACTTCTTAAGAGCACCTTTGTAGGTGGGGTGAGAACTTGGACATGGTGAAATATGAGTCAGAAGTAGGAGTAGAAAAGAATCCAGCACTATACAGAAAATAAACTTTGGAGGAGTACACAGATTCCCACATCACCTGATACACATTAAAAATAAATAAATAAACCCAATTTAAAAGTATCATCTGCCCCCAAAAAAGTATTTTTGTGGAAAAACCATTACACATGTATTTTAAGGGTAATATCTTCAGATATTAATAATAGCCACAACTGTGTGGTGGGGTACGATTAGGGTGGCAAGCCAGTATACTTCTAGTGCCATTCCCAATCTTGATAAATGGGGATCTGCATCAGGAAGGGCATCCGGTGTAATATTTTTGCCATTCATAGATGTAGTGAAGGAGGATGTGTAGGAACTTGGTGTGACAGGAGGGCGAGAGGATGAGATGGAGAAAGTTGATCTGCTGGGGTGATCCCTAAAGGCATGAGCAAAAAGGAGAAGAAGCTCCTCTAATAATAGGGATTGTTAGCTATTATTAGTCCTAATGTTTACCCTAAATTTCAGTGGCACTATTTCTGAAAACACACTTCTTCCACAATGACATCATTAATTAAAACAGACAGTGTTAACTGGGGAGTACAGCAAGAACACAGCTACAATTTGAGAAAGTGTTACACATTTGGCGAATAAGTGTGAAAAAGTCTGACCAAAATCACTAACAAGTCTGTAAAAGAAAAGATAGCTATAGTATTATAGTTAATGTTAAAGAATTAATGGGCCGTAGATGGAAAGAGTCAACATTATGAGTGGATTGGCAGATGGAGCCAGCTTAATGCACAGGTATACATATGCAATGACACAGACAGACACACAAATACTCATGGCGGTGGTGGTGTTGGTCGGTAATGAGTGTGGGGTAAATGGCTAATGTGAATGTTTGTGACAGGCAGCCTGAGGCAGTGTGAGGAGCAGCTCTTCAGTGGGTACATGCCTTCACACCCCCCTAATCAACCCACCGGTAATGCTTAATGCTACCGAGGTTGTGTGCAGAGGCATACGCCTCCGGAGAGGGGTTTTCAACCAACACAAACATGCTCCTGTGCAGGCCTCCAAAATCTCAACTGCATGTTGTTCAACGTGGACGACCCTTTCTGTTGACTGACAAGTACGCTGGTCAGACCACTTTTTTTTTTTTTTTTTTTTTTTTTTAATACTGCCCCCATCTGATAACAGACGCAGATTGTGGTCTCTGCAGTTAGATGGGCCCACGGACACAACCACAGCTGAACCAGAATTTCCCCATAACACACAGTTTTGATGCTGGAGAGCTAAGAATGCACAGGGGGGAAAACAGGCCAGAAGTGTACGCTATATGTGCCAATATACTGTGGCGAGTGTCACAGAAGTGTGTGTGAGAATGCATCTGCCTTTAAGGACCACGGCAAGCGCAGAAACTACTCAAAGTGCATTTGAAAGTGTAATGGGGAAAGACAGGGGGCTTGGGAAAGCTGTTCTTTGAGCCTCCAGCTGTGTTTTTGCAAGGTCGTTTCCAATGTAAGGTCAATGGAAAATACAAAGAAGAGAGGGAAGCCCACCCGCTAAGAATGGAGGAGCTTTTAAATCAGTTCTTTGAATGCACTAAAAAGTTGAAGCAATACAGCACAAGCAGGAAAATGTTTATCATCTTATTATCTCAGAACTAAGGTCTTCTAGGTTTTGTCTTATTGTTTTTGGTCAATTAAGGATGGGTTATAGTTTAAGCAGGATAGAAATCAAGCTGAGGAATAAGAAATGTGTTAGCTGAGCCGATATAAGGGAGAGTTAGAGGTGAGACTAAAAAAAGAAAGACAAGTAAGAAAGAGGAAAAGGTGGGAACCTCTAGGCTTTTCTCACTCACTGTGCAGGTTATCTACAGCAACTATCATCACCTAAAGGCCATAAATAAATGAATAAATAAATAAATAAAATCCCTTTCCTTTTACTTAAATAGTTTGCACCTGTACCTGTCAGGCTCAACCTTCTCAAACACGCTAGAAGCAATGACAGAGTCTCCTCAACACTTCTTTTCTGCTCTTTACAACCACAGACAGGCAACACTTTTAGTCCATCCCTCCTTGAACACAAACACACAGCTTCACACACACCGATGCCTTGTATTGACTTGTCCTGACAGAAAAAGTAGAAAACAAGGCTTTGAGGGGAAGTGCTCAGTTTCTCATTGCAATGCAACATTATTAAATGTTTGGAGCCCGTATCAGCGCAAGCTAAGCCAGCGGCTTCATTCAGTATTCATTACAGCGAGCTGGCACGCTGAAAAGACACTGCAGGACAAATCAATTGGAGGGGAGAAAGAGAGCGAGGGAGACGGGGTTGTAGGAAATCCACAATGTTTAACTTTAGCAGAGCCAAGTGAAGCCACCAGGGAGAGAACTGCTAATTAATCATCAGCAATAGTTCATTGCTCATAGACATTATTTTCCATCTCACATCAAACTCCTCACACATCTGACTCACTAACGTCTCCGTTTGAAATCCTACACACACCACACTGCTGGCTTGACTCATTACCAGTCTAAATTATGAATATTGACAACATTTTGTTTCAACAAGCCTGCTTTGAAACAGTAAAATGCTGAAACATCACAGGTTCTGTTTCCAATTGTCAAGTTTATTGTTGCCATGCTTTTAATACCAGGCTGCTTCTAAAAGGCGAGGGTGACGCGATTACCTACATTTAATTAAACACTAGGACATTAATGTGGAGTGTTAAAATTCATAGTAGGAGACACTTAGTGATCATATATTCTTGTTACTGACAGGACCTGCTGAAGTAAGTCATTGGTGGCCACAAAGCACTACGAGAACTGTACATTTCCACCATGACGTTGATGTTGCTCTCACACCACTCACATCATCAGAAACTCCAACCAATGCCAAACACAAATAACATAGTAACACCTGTGACCACTGAGTTTTGCAATATACTGAACTAAACTTTCATGTACCAACTATGATGATAAGACAAATGTTACTAACTGAACAACAAGAAGACAATCAGACTTTGAATATCCAAATATCAGAAGTGCAGAGCAAAAACATGGACACACAGATATCCCCTGCTTCACTAAAGCTTCAGTATTCAAAGTCAAAGCAGTAGAGGGTGCTGTTTACCACTACATCAGGGTAGTACGCTGCATCCATACTACTGCTAGATTTTTAAATTTTAATGATAAATTGAGTCATTATTTCATGTTAAAGTCTTGGAACAATTAACTTAGCCTAAAAAATATAAATAAATAGATCTACAAAGCATTTCAACAAATTAACACTGCTCTTTTTAACTTTCTGGAACTTTAAACAATCACAAACACGTCTCCCCACATCTTTAAATTCATATAAGAGCATTACCAAGGTTAAGCCTCAACAAATTAAGTATATTTTTATCAAGACGTGTCTAGTGAAATTATGCAGGACGTGAAGATTCAAATAAATGTGCTCCTGGCATAGATCCAGAAAACATCACTCACCAGTATCTTGGACTTTTCGTGCTCTTCGAGGGATTTTCCTTTCTCTACGATGAGGGCAGAGGTCAGCTCATCCAGGCCAGTGATTGCTGCATTCTCGTTCTCCCTCTGGGCCAGTTTGGCCAACTCCTCCTTCACCATGGCCTGTTGACGTTCAAAGCTAAAGTAATTGAAACATGAGATGTATTAACCTTTGACACTTTATTTTGCAATGGAAAGCCCTCTGAAGTTTTTGTTCGCATAGCGGGTTAGCCACTGAGGTTTTACAGATATTGCTTCATGCAAAGCATTACAAATAAATGTGGAAAACGCCTACAGAAGTCACTTCCAGAATGTTACACAGGGTTTTCCACTGTAATGTGATAGAAAAGTAAAATATACATAGAGTAAATTAACTGCATTGCAATGAGCATGAGTGAGAACTGCTGGACCTCAATATGTAAGTCCTTAGAGGCTCAGCACAGCATATAGGCACTCCACCAGCACAGAAACATGCCCGTTATACAGAGTAATGTAGCACAGGCAGTGTCAATAGGTCACTCGGCATGTGTACATTTGCAAAACATTCCACACTGTGTGCATGTCATTTCAAATATCTGTCAACTACATGTATTCAACATGTATTCAGCTGCAGCTGTTCCTTAACCAACTATGACAGAAATACAACTCAATTTGTGACAATTTGATATCTGACATCAAAAATTTGTCTCAAACAGGTTTACAGTCTATGGCATGTAAAATCCAAGTCCTTAGCCTTGTGAACATGGTAAGAAAAAAAAAAAAGCTCCCGTCAGTAACTGTGAAAACTAGAAGAAACTTCAGAAAAAGCACCAGAGGAGTGATCCCTCTACAGACAAACAACAGGTAGTGTGTGTACAAAACAGAGCAACTTACAGGACAAATTCTAAACATGTAAACAGGCATGACTGAACACAAGGGAACAGTGACCTTGACATTGTGAGCACCTACTTTTTCCGCATTTCCTCTTGAATTTCTTTAGAAGATGGTCCTGATGGTTTTTCGCCTAACACACAATTGGATAAGGATTACTGATGCATATAAAAATGACAGTATGAACCAGTTTGCAGGATTTGCAGCAGGATTAGGGGTGTGTATAATAAGATCCCTTCAGACATGAATCATGGCAAAGCTATTTACTGCAATTATACTATATTTTGATGCTGTGCTCAAGAATCAGTGCATGGGAACATATTTGCTGCGGTTACAATGGGAAGTTTGTGAGACAGGAAAGGCCTTTGACCAGCGACATACTTGATGGTGGTTTGTGACTGTCCGGCAAGGACTTTGGTGGCTTGTTGCTGTCAGACCCCAGAGACTCCCTCATCCTGCGGAGCACATCCTCTGAGAGCTGGATGGGATTAATAAACACATGCAATGCAGTGTAAATGTATACCAGATTAAATCTTAAAGTCCATCGCCTAGCCTATTCAAGTGTCCTATAACACAGAAAATACTTCTGTACACCTCACCAATCCAATGACCAGGTATTGAAACAAATGCTAGCTAGCTATTTGCCTGCATGGATAGAAAAGATTACATATTCTCATACTGCAAAACTGCAAATATGTTGACGACAATCCCCATGTTTCATGACATGTACTTCTGATTACAGAAGTCAACAACAGCAAAGGACTTGACGTGTTTGCTGTTGTTGACATAGCGTCTTAGCTATCAGCGGTTTGCTGTGGAAATAACACCACCATCGCATGTGACCAAGTGCTGTGAAATTGTCCGCTGTGCTAGCATTTTATCAGTCATCATTATACTACTAAAATAATAACCTACTAATCTAAGAAAGAGGGCAACAGTAGCTGGACATGACAGGAAAAAGAAGTTCTGACCCGGGTTCATTTAAGGACACAGGACCTGTCAGGCTCGCAGCAGACAGACGAATACCATCACAAAATCCCACTACTGCCTCTGCCATTAGCCGCTATACCGTAACAACAACAATAATAATAATTAAAACTGTGGTGTGAATTACCCCTAAAGCAACAACGTTGTACTCTATACCTTCACTCCTTCAATTACTGTGACCTTCTCGTCTTCGTCCAGTCCGAATGACACTTTCCTCGCCGTGCTCCCGTTTCCACCCATTTTAACCAGTTTTCCGTTCCCACTCAATTAAATCACGCAATACAAGCCAAGTCGACTGTTATGTGAAGAAGACATAAATTGGAGAGCAGCTGGAGTCGCCGCCACAGCGACTGCTGGTCAAAATACTCCAATAAAGGTCATTTTAACGCTGCAGTATCCTGAAAGCTCATTGGCCAGATTTTACATTACGGATCCAATGGCTAACTAGCTTATCGTAAACGGACGAAGGGTTGATGGGAATTGTAGTTAAACACAAGAGTGACGAATCTAAAACGCGACCTGTGCGGTATATTTAAGATCATACAGAGCGCATTTGCTCACACACACACACACACACACACACTATAGATACTAGAAAAACAAACAAACAATTGAAACAAAGAGTTCACTGTTTATTCTTTAGGTCATGGAATGCTCGACACCTTGATTTGACATGGCTGGAATATTGTACAATAAATGCACTTCAATAAAAAGGCAATTTTAAACAGAATTTCCAAAGGATTTCACCATCAAATGTTTTCAAGAGTGGAATGTGTTTTCAAGAGTGATGCAACTTGTGAACTCTTGTCCAACAAAAGGGAAAGAATATTTTAATCCATCACCCCACATAAAACAACAAATTTACATTTGAAGATAAAATATTTCAAATCAGGAAAAATGCAAATGAATCATATGATGAAAAACATCATTGCAACCCCCTA